GCACACACACACACACACACACACACACACACACACTCCCGCACTCCTACCTCTTCCTTCACAGACCTAATCCTGCCACATGCCTGTCTCTCTGAGACCTTCCAGTCCTGCAGAGTCAGTAATATTGCTCCCATTTTACTGATGAAAAAATGGAGGCTCGAAGAGATCATGACACTTGTCCCCGGTCAATCCGCTGCGGAAGGGTGCACTGCAAGTGAAATCTTGGTCAGTGGGCTCCAGGCACCCGCCTGGCATGGCCCCCAGCACCTCAGTCATGAGCAAGTGGTAGGACCCGGTCCCCAGCTGGGTGACAACTCCCATTCCCAGGGCCTCAGGCTCTCAGCCTCAGTTACATAAAACCCCAGACTCCTCAACTTTCCCAGCCCTTCCAAGGAGCTCCCCACACCCATGACCACCTGGCCCCTGGGGCTGGACAGGGCCGCCTTGCCCCGGCCAAAACTAGAGCCACTTGAGTCTCTGACTTAAGCACTTCATACACTCCCCTTATCTCTAGCTAGTCTTTTGTGTGTGTGGTAAAATGCACACAACATAAAATTTACCATTTTAACCATTTCTTTTTTTTTTTTTTAATTTTTTCACTGTTTGTTTATTTTTGAGACAGAGACAGAGTGCAAGCAGGGAAGAGGCAGAGAGAGAGGGAGACACAGAAACTGAACCGGGCTCCAGGCTCTGAGCATCAGCACAGTGCCCAACGTGGAGCTCAAACTTAGGAAGAGCGAGATCATGACCTGAGCCAAAGTCAGATGCTTAACCGACTGAGCCACCGAGGCACCCCACCATTTTAATCATTTTTCTAAAAAGTACAATTTGATGGCAATCAAGTGCACTCACACTGCTGTACAACCATCACCCCTATTCATTTCCAGAATGTTTTCATCTTCCCAAATAGAAATCCCACATCCTCTAAACAAGAACCCCCTTCCCCTTTCCTCCCAGCCCCTGGAGATCCCTAATCTCCTCTCTATGTCTACGAATTTACCTGTTCTAGGCACCTCATACACTGGGAATCACACAGCATTTTGTATCTGGCTTCTTTCACTTCGTGTTATGGGCTGAGTTATATCCCCCCAAATTCATATGTTGAAGTCCTAATTCCCCAGTACCTCAGAATGGGACTGTATTTAGAGAAAGGTCTTTAAAGAGGTGATGAAGTTACAATGAGGCCATCAGTGGACCCTCATCCCTTGTGGCTGGGGCCCT